AAACAAATAAAAATACTTGCCGAAAACATTCAAACGACCAAAAGTGACAATAACAACGACAACAACTGTCATGCGTAAACAAGTAATCAAAGCATTTTGAACTTCGTTGAGGCCTTGAAGAAGGCAGATCTTTGAACATAAGACTAGTTTTGAAGCGGACTGATACGGTTTTCCGAATGAAGAGACCCGCGATCAATGGTCGTTCCCTAATGGAAGGAATACCCTTATCAGTTCAATGCGCGTGCGGCTTCAAAACACATTACGTCCATGTGAGAAAGGGCTAAACTCTAGCCTTGTTAACCAATAGTCGAGACCTTTAGGGAGCTTAGGGTTGCGCCCTGCAATTGTTACAGTGAGCGGATCGCATAGATGATTGCATGCGTTCAAAGGACTTACAATGGTCTCAAGGAAATACTTGCTTGATTCACGGCTGTGAATTAGTTCTCTGTCCACGAATTCATTTAATAGTGGACGCCCATTCCGTGATAACAAAACGTTGGGAGAGCTTCTGAGACATCGTGCAAGGAAGTTGCATGACTGTGCCACACTTGAAGATCACCACACTGGAGTGGGCACTTCGAACGCTTAGCTGAAGCCACGGAAAAATCAAGCCCATGCCCGAAACAGTCCGGAAAACTTAAAACAATATCATTCAGAGCTGTGAATAGAGTGGATCCTGAGGAAGGTGGAAAAAATGCAACGTTGGGTGCGCCACATATTCGGCTTCATTCGGAATTCTAGACTTATTCGAATACATGTTAGACATAGGAATGCTTTTGCGGATAGCAACCGACAGCTCGGCCAATGAAGACATTAACCACCACTATGAAAGCCCGGCAGGTACAGTTGGTCCACCAACAACAAAGAATTTTAAATTGTGCATCGTGAAAGTGTGCTACCACGCCTTTAGCCACCACACAATCACTCGCCTGTGCGGGCACGTTACTCTGAATTCTGAATTGAATGAATCCAGCGAGTTTCACCATCTCGGGTGCTATCTTTCAATGATGACACGGGTTTTTATTTTGTCGGATGGAATGACACCTGCGACAAATGGCGCCACCTCTTCCGTTTCCTCTGCACGCGTGGCTGGGAATCACGATTAAGATTCAGTCCTGCAGCTCTATATAGCTTCTAATTCCTTCAGGTTTAAGTATTGGATGAGGAGTACATTGTTCCATAAGAGCACGCAGTAAGTTGGGAATCTTCAGCGATTAGGTTGCTCCGGGGAGGGGTCGTATTTAACTTAGAGAACAATGTCTTGAGTATGCTCTAACTCTCCACTCCCCCGATGGTGATTTCCCGGGAAAAGTGACAGTACATTCGGAAAAAGTGAGGGAGACGTCCTATACAGCAGAACGTTTCATGGATTCCGAGAGAGTTTCAGCACTCAC